ATTTACTATTGTTTATGTATTTATTTGTTTAGCATTGTTATTTATTTAGTAATGAAAGATAAAATCATAATAACTTATAGCCCTACTCTATACAAACATAAGTTTTCGGAAAACATTATTTAAAAGAAATTAGAAACCATAGAGTAAGTTTAAATTTCTTTTAAATATTGTTGGACCACCATAGACATAAGCTACTACATTAAATTAATTTCTGAGTTACTTGATTGAAATATTTTCAAAACATCAAGTTTAGCCAAAAAGTAACTGTTTCAAGTCAGTTTAACATGATGCAATCGTGAAATAATGGCGTTAAATCAAAATTAATTGTTTAAATAGTCAACGGCTTTAAAAAATTATTTTTTAGTGCTCTATGGATCATGCTGTCAACTACAAGTCAATGTGTAATCAAAGTCATGGTCATTAAGTTATTCTCATTTCTTTAATTGTCCATCCTCTTTCTGCCTTAAAGGGACAGTCAACTCAAAAATGAAAATTCTGTCATCAGAAGATATTTTGGGGTTGATTGTAGTCATTTTACATTTCTTAAAAGATCCTGAGAGTTATGGGACAAAAAAGTCAAGTGGTAGATCTAAAAAAAATTTCGGACGGAGGATCCGACGGGCTGTCCGTGAAGACACAGGCCGATCCTCGACCCAAATTAAGGCCCTTACTGATGCTGACTGCAGCCCAATAACCATAAGACGGCATCTGCAAGAGAAGGGCTTAAAGAACAAAATAGCCAACCGCCGTTTGACGCCCCTGCACAACCTGAACAACTCTATTTTCCCATTGAAGGAAAAAGCACCCCAGATCATGATGGAGACTCCTCCACTGTGCCACGTAGAAAACATCTCCAGTGGAATCTCCTTGTTATGCCAGTAACGTTGGAAGCCATCAGGACCTTCCAGGTTAAATGTTTTCTCGCCAGAGAATAAAACTTTCTTCCACCTTTCAATGTCCCATGTTTGGTGCTCTCTTGCAAATTCCAAACGGGCAAGTTTGTGGCGTGGGAGGAGACGTGGCCTTTGAAGACGTTTTTTGTTCTTTAAGCTCTTCTCTCGCAGATGCCATCTTATGGTTACTGGGCTGCAGTCAGCATCAGTAAGGGCCTTAATTTGGGTCGAGGATCAGCCTGTGTCTTCACGGACAGCCCGTAGGATCTTCCGGCTCAGTGCAGGTGAAATTTTTTTGGATCTACCACTTGCCTTTTTTGTCCCATAACTCTCAGGATCTTTTAAGAAATGTAAGATGACTGTCTTACTGTGCCCAACCTCGGCAGCGATGGCGCGTTGCAAGAGCCCTTTCTTGTGCAGCTCAACAATACTGCCACGTTCAAATACAGAAAGCCTTTTTGCTTTTGCCACCAGGACATCATGACAGTGTGACTGCCTGAAGGACAATGACATGAAACCCATATTTTTGCGCAGATTTGAACTTTTTAAGGCTATGGTCTTAAACTTTTGATCAGCTGATGAACAGCCTGTTTGAGTTTAAATTCCGTTTTCAATAAATTGCCTACCCTCTATTTTTTGTCTCTTTCTCCTGTTTCTTCTTTTGGCATTTTGAAGCAGTACTTACAACCTGTATACGATCCACCAGTGTGAAATGCGATTACTTGTAATGTTTCCCCCGGTCTTAATATTTTGTTCAGGAGTGTATATCTTTCATTTGGACGTTATAAGTAAGCAATACAGCTGGATAAAACAGAAACGGTGTCCATCTTCATTTCAGTCTGTAAAGCAACAAAATGTGACTATTTTAAAGGGGAGTGATTATTAAATTAGAACAGTATTACATAAACTGCAGTAAAACTGTTATACAGCTGCAGGAGAAGCTTTTTTGCATAGCTGGCATTGTACTCTCTCAGGTTCTGGAAGCTGATCTCCGTCAAATGTGCAGCACACAGATAAATGTTGGGGTTGTAATGTTCAAGAAATGAACATTAAAATGAAAAAA